GGAACTGGATAGACTAGCCTGAATTTGAAGCAGTTCCAAACCTGAGTGGTGGAACTTTTAGTTAAGGAATAACAACAAGGAAGAAATAGAAGAAAAAAATAAGTAAATCTTTACATGAGTTACATTGTAGATCTACCCCTACAGAAATAAAATATGTCTTACACTGTGATAGCTAGAACTCTGCTAGATGTACATCTAGACCAGTTTCAAATTTGCTGTCATCTGTTATCCTGGCATAGCAGTAAGGCCAGGCTCAGTGCAGCACAGTCAGTGTGTGGTCAGCTCAGGAAGGCAGCTTTAAGGCTTGCAGAGCTGCTCAAAGCTGTCAGTGCTTCAGTGCACATGTACCTGTGCATCCCTGCAGGAAAGGGGGTGTTCTGGCAGTGGGTGTGTGCCAGTTTACTGGATTCCATTCCCACTTGGCTCAGCATTGTTGGATTGTTTGCAAGGTGTTCAAGGCACCTCGTAAAAATGTATCAGCGACCTGGCATTTGACTATTTTGAATGTGGGTGTACCCCAGAGGTTGCACTGTGGCCTTTGGTATACATTTGATTCTGGGTAAGGGAAGGCAAACTTTCCAGTCTTTACTGGGAAGTGATCCACATCACTGATTCAAGTGGATGTTGTTTCTAAGTACAGCATTTTATATACTACCACTCAACTTCTGCTGATTCACTGAGGATATTTCATAGCCTATACTTTGTATATCAGTTTGACTTTACCTATTAGCCAGAATAGGTTAACAGATCCTGTAGATGCTATATTGACACTTCCCCAGCAACTTCTTAATATTTTGAAGTATTTCTCAGGAGGCAGGTTGCAAAGCAATTTAGTTACATACTAGGATCCAAGTGACAACTGAATGGTCTGGCATTGACTTCTTTTTGGTCAAAACCTTCCTGGAAAACCCAGTTGTAGGAGGTGGAATGGTAGTGTGAAGTGAAAGAGCTGTCCCAATGGGAATTCCCAGGTTGGAGGATCTGCTGTATCACCCAAGGGGACAAAACCAACATAGAACAGGCCTGATGGTCACATTCTTCTTTGTTTTGAGTTGCCTTGATGAATTTTGGGAGAAAAAGATAACCACATTTTTTTAAGAAATTCCATATGAACTGTGCAGACTGTAGTAATTAGAAGTGTGATAACGACCTTGAGTCTATATTTCATAATTTAGTTATGCATTTACTGCTCTCTTCTGTTAAAGCTGTTTCTTTTGCCATGATTAAAGAAGCTTTGTTTCACTGAGTCCAGTATTAATGTATTCCAGATTCTGCTTCTTCAGAAGAGTAACAGATGTTCACAGTTTGGTGCAATTTTCAGATGAGCAATGGTGTTTATAATGCATTTCCCTGAGACCACCCAACTCATTTCACTTGTAACTTGAACTATGTCCAAGTGTTGATCTCAAGAGATGTAAAAGAGATGTAATAATTCTGTGCCCCACCCAGTTCAAAACACATGACTTAGTATAGATGGAATTTAAATATGTATACTTCCAATCTACATAGAAAGCTAAAATTTTATCTTGTATGCCATGAAAAATGGTGGTGGATATAAAATGCTTGCTTTAATTAATCAAGTGTTCCTAGAATTAACTAAAATCATGAAACAAAGATGAACAAGTGAAAAACCACAACCCAGTAATTAAAACCAAAGAAATTGAGATTTATTCTGGAAAACGCAGATTTATTAAGCAGTGAAAAAAAAAAAAAAGAAATATAGCTTAGGATGAGGTGTGGGGATGTGACACAATGCTTCATGTCTTGTCAGAAACAGCTGCAATAAATTTTGTGCTGCATTAACCAAAATATAGTGTGATTTAGAGCTGTCTCTATCCAAGCCAATATATCTAGTGTCAAATCTTTAAAAAAAAAAAAGGTTGATGGGGTTTAGTGATATTAGAAAACAAGTATTGAGGAACTTTGGGTGACAGAAAATGAAACTTCATATTTCTGCATTTATAATAAATCTCAGAGACTCAATTATATCAGTTGGAACAACTCACAAAGGAAGAAAGAAGCTCTGAATGACTTGCGACCATGAAAATTAAACAAACAGTTCTGAATTGACATTAATTGGTTACATACTAGGTGTATGTACATACTGAATGAAGAAGATTTATTTCATTCCTGACATTCGTTGTACTTTATACTTAACATTTAGTGCAGTGTTATTTTGAGATTATAAACTGAGAACTCAGAAAAAAAGAATCACTGAGAGGTTCCCATGGCAACCATAGTGTGGAAATTATGTGAACATTATGATCAGGGTAATGTCACATCATAGTATTAAACCTTGCTGTTTGGCAGGTATGTATTTTACAACATGAGTTAAGTGATAAATGTAGATAGTTATAAATGGCATTGAAATCAATTATCTGAGTTTTGGTGGGTTTTTGGGGTTTTTTGGGGGTTTTTTTAGCCAGAGAATTGCTCTCCAGTGTAATGCAAGGAATTTCTTTAATTTTTTTCTGAAAATACATTGTCTGGAGGGTTCTGAGCTGCATATAAATAAACATATAGAAAATTATATGGTTTTTAGGCACCATGAATACTCAGCCTTGTCCTTTGCCAGCACTCATTCTCCACTCAGAACAGCAGGATTTTCATAAATGTGTGCAGTTGTGTCCCAACAGCCGATGTGTGAATGCAGAGATTGACAGGATGCTGTGATCCCCCTGCTCTCAATGGCTTTTGTGTTTGCTTAGCTGCTTGCCAGCAATGAAGATGCTATTTCAGCATCTTCCTTTCAGCTGAAGCCAGAAATACCAAATGCAAAGGAAACAGTGCTGCTGTGAATACTGTAGAAAGAAAGGTTTTGGGGGTTTTTTTGTGAAAAATAAATAAATTCATTAATCATTGCACCTCACTGTTATCTTTTTTCTCTTTCTCTGTCTCAAATAGCAGCTTAAGGGCAAACTGCCTCTTCAGTAATTCTTCTGTGCTGGTTGCTAATGAAATTCTACACTTTCTCATTTGGAAATGAAAAAATATTTTGCCAGTGCCTTGGTTACACATGCTGTGGTAGATATTAGAAACAATCTGCTTTTTATAGTCTTATAATAGTCTTGACTTGAATACATGCCTGACTTTTGAAGAGTGACCTGTCTTGCTTTACAACAAAAGACTTATGCTTTTAATCCTGAACTTAAAATCTTCTCAATGTCCATTTTTCTACTTAGTTTTAAAATAATCTTCTTAGGAAATCAGTTACTTGCTTTGTTGTTGTTTGGACTTCTTGTTTTTCTGTTTTTCTTTACAAAAATAAAAGAAATATTGAAACGTATATTAGAAAATATATGGAATGTAACCTTCGTTGCTGCTCTAGCTCTGTTTCCCGGGAAACGGATGAGAGCAGCATGAAATTTATCTAAAGCTCCCAGATCCGGTGCAGAAAAAGTGAAGGCAGGTCTAAAAACTGCCTTTTAAAGCAGTGACTGCTCAGGACCTCTTACAAAGCTGTGGTGTGAGAGTTTTGTGGAGAGTAGAGTCTTGAGTGAAAGCCAGGGAGCCTTTTGGTGGGTCTGCAGAATGCAAACATGGAGAAATTCTCATCTGGGCAATTCAATAACCTTTGCTTACAATTATTCAGGAAGGCTGTAATAATTTATACAGTCCATTCCCATGAGGATCACAAATAGTTCCTGGGGTTGCCAGATTGCTTGTGGCTAAATATCTGCAAAGGTGCTTGGAAGTCCCCAGACTTCTGCCACCTGGGCTGTGAGCATGGACAGGTGTGGTTCCATCTGCACAGGGAGCAGCTCTGACCCTCTGAGTGCTGCCTCTGCTTGTCCTGCTTTGGGAAGGGAAGAAGAACAGCTATAAATCCCTTAGTCCAGTAGGTCTTTACCCACATTTTAAGTGCCACTATTTACCTGTGGAAAAACATTTGGCTTCAGACCACTTGATTTAGTAATAAAAGCAGAGAATTCAAGTATTGTATATTTGTCAGCTGTTTGTAATGATGAAGCTTCCTGGTGTCACCAGTAAACCACAGTGTGACATTGTGGTACTGGAGCTATTATTAAAATTGGACTAATGCTATCTTCCTATGGGTAGGAATATTAGATTAGCACATGCATCGATTTGGCAAAAAAACCACATTAACCATGCTTCTGTTCTTGCTTTTTCTGAAAAGTTCATATAGCCTGGCCATGGCTGTGTATTTTTTAATTTGCTACCTTCTTTAAGGCCTCTTTTGTCTTGCCTTAAAAGTAGGGCTTCCATGTGTTTCCTTTACGTGATCTTAACTTCGTGTTCTGCTCATAATAAATTGGAGCTAGAGCTGGTTGAGAATTTTCCATCAAAAGGAATTTCAACTAGAAATGTCTGTAAAACAAATTCAGAAAAAAAAGAATTCTTCAAAAAATAACTTTTTTAACAAGAAAATCAAACTATACTATTCTGTTGCATTTGGTTCAACCTCATTGGCCATGTTTAAGTAATTGACCTCAAGGATTTTATCTTTGAGTCAATTGAATAAACAAAGCTCTGGAAACTGTATAGCACACTGAAAATATTTTGCAAATAAATTTTGCAAAACTTTTTTTGCCCTGGAGAAGATTAATTTCTCCAAAAAGAGCTGACATGTAAGCACATTTAGCCTGTGCTTCCAAAAACTGTTCCAAACCAAGAATGTGCTTGCAGGTGTTTGGTCAAGTGTTGAGATGCTCCTGTCCTCCCATTTTGAAAGGGATAAATATGTTACTCAACCCTTGTCATACTAAGAAATAGCAAGCAAGGGAACGCTATTTTAAAAAGAAAGATGCAACTTTTTCTAGTCCAGTAAACCCTGGAGTTTGATGTTGGCTGAAAACAAGCAGGAGATGCAGGAAGCCACAGGAAGAAGTGAGAGTATGGTTTCTTGAACACCAACACTACCAAGCATTAGAAAATATTCATAACTAAGACTAGTAATCAAGATTAAAAAAAAAAAAGGTAACATATTTTTATTCTGTACAGTTATAACCAATTTCAGAGTTTTATCTTTCTTCTTTCAGAATGATCAGTCTATGCAAGATATGCAGATAATTGGAGGAGATGATCTTTCAAAGCTGACTGGCAAGGTTTGTTCATTCTATATTTAAGAAAGAAAATAAATTCACTAAAAATACTTGAGAAGAGCTATATAATTTTTGTCAGATACTAATACTGGAATCAAAGTTATTTATTCTAATATATTAAATTGCTGTGATGCCAATGCTTTCAGATTGCAGATGCCCAAAAAGGTCAGAATGTAGCCTCTCCATCCTTTGTAGACTTTCCCAGTAGTTATACACGTATCATCAGTGAGATTGTGGGCAAAATTTGTGATGTAATGTTTCCCCTTAGCTTGTTTATATCATGGAGCCTTGACTTTTTTTTTTTGCCTTCAATGGGTGCATACAAGCAAACTGCACAGTGCATATCTCTGTTGAATTCAGCATATGAGTTTAATCCCATTTTGCCTACTGCACAAAATTCAGTTGTGGAGCCTTTCACTCAGAGAATCAAACGGGATTTTTTATTTCAGCATCAGGCTGCCAGCCTGATATATGACTGAATCTGCACTAAGCTTGAGCCTTGTGATAAGGAGAGAGAGTGGTCTGAGGCAGTGAAAAGGCCATTTTCATCCAACCATGGTAATACAAAGCAGTACTTTAAAGAGGAAGGAAAGCTGATTTCATTAGGCAAATGGTCTGTGTGGCAAATGGTCAAAAAATGGATTCTTTACTTATGCATTAAGGCAACATAATACTTATCTTGTTATTGTACTTGCAGTCACAGTATTGTATTTGCAGTCACTGTTTTATTAGGTGGTTCTAGATAATATCAGTTTCTTCAAAGCACTCAAATGGAACACTAGCAAACTCATTTTTTTGTTGTACTAGCAAACTCAGTTTTGTTGTGCTATAGCACACAAGAAAAAGAAGAGGAAAACAACTTTAAATATTTCATTAATATTAAATAGGGTTTGATGCAACTAGAACTGAAATTTAAAAAATGCTGTTATACTCAGAATATTTTAGTGATATGTATGTACTCAATTTGCACTTCTAAATACTCCTGCTGGGTGTTGTTTCCAAATTACCACTAAAGGGTTAATCATATTCTGGGGAAATATTAATTAATTTGCTACTTTCTAATATTCAAACACTAGAGTTACCTGTTTTTCTGTGATGATTTTGCATATGTTTCTCTACCTCACAGACAGAACTGGCAGTGCATCTTACTTAACATTTCTCTTTCTGAACGTAGTTCAAACACTTTCTAAACTTCCAGGCCCAGCTCTCCTTCCCCATCTTCCAATCCCAAATTTCCTTGATTAATGGTTGCAGATATTAGTATTATTTCCAGACATGATATTTCCAGTATCATTTGAATTCACTGAGCAAAACATTTTTTGCAAGACTTTTGTGTTATTTATCTGTGCCCACATGTGTATGAGAGAGAAGGAAGATTTCACCCTATGAAGTCCTGCTCTTGTCAAAAAATAAGTAAATTGTTTTCTTACAATGGAAGTCCTGGTAATATTTTTCTCAGTGGCATGGCTCTCCTGTTCCCAGGTATGGAATGGGACACAAAATTTGGCTGTTGGGAGGCTGAGAGATAGCTGGGGAGAAGACTGAGCAGCAGCATTGTTTCAGATAGCTGGGCAAGGCTGCTGGGATCTTGGGTGGGTGGGAAGAAATTGCTGCTCAGGAGGGGAGCCCAGTGCTGGAAGCTGGGACTGCCAGGGGAGCAGAGCTCCAAGGGCCTGGTGTTTGTATGTGGGGCTGTCTGTGACACAGCTGATGTGTCAGGAAATAGGAATAATAGCATTTTCTCTACAACACGTGAGAACAGGGTTCCCTTAAGACTTATTTTACTGTTTGAAAAGCTGGAATGCAAAGCTCAGGCTCAAATGCTCATGCTTGCATGTCTAAAGTTGGATATGTGAAGGAGTGGCCTTATGTCCACAGATGCCAACTCCTCCATCTGTTGTTGACTTCAGCAGCTAGTGCAAATATTCAGCACATTTTACTAATCAGCCATTTGTGGGCTGATTCAGAGCCTCCTACAGGCCATGTAAAACTTTTCCTTGAAGTATTTTCAGTACCTCTCTTTAGCTGCTGGCTTTTAAAACTGCTGGTTCAGTAGTTATCCAGTGTCACTGAGTGAATTAGTTGAAGACTTACTCAGAGAATTGAAGTTCTTTGCTATCAAGCAAGCTGTGTTCTTCCTCTGCCTGCTTGGAGTATTTAATAGGAAAGGTGTAATTATATTGAAAAATTAATATACCAAGTTAAAATCCCATTAACTTACTGATCATGGAAGGTGTTTTCAAAAGCACAAGTGTGGGCTTGGAACATAAGTTCCATTAAGTTTCTGTAAAGTTGAAAAGTATCAATAAATGTAAACAGTTTTGAAACTTACAGAGAAAATATTCTGAGATTTTGATATTGAACTGCCTTTCATTAAGTAATAATGCCTGGAACCTCAGCTAGCCTATAATCTTAGTGAAGAACTAAGGCATGTTTGCTGCCTATTGGAAAAACAGATTACTGAGTGAACATGCTGGTATATAATAAAGTTGGGGTTTTCTTTCTGAGAAAGCTCGAAGAAAGCAAAAAATTTTAAAAGCTAATTAGAAAGAGGCTGTTAAGGAATAGCTCTTAGCTCTGTTAATAGCTTTCAAAATAATATCTCCTCTGTACTTCTCTACAATATACTTTTGTTTACAAAATTATTATAAGCCTGGCAAAAATGTATAATGACCCAAACCACGAAAAAGAAAAATATTATGAGAGTTGGCATACAGACCCAAATTGCCCAAATTGTTGCCTGAAGAAAATCATCCCCCATTTGAAATTATTCTTCTGTGAAGAAGGTCACTGAAGCAAGAATGAAGTTTTCCACGGCACAAGTCATTAATTAAGATACTTGAAGAATGAATCCTGATATATCTTAACACTCTAATGCTTTGTAAGCATTTCTATCCAGAAAAAATATACTTTTAAAATCTCTCCTTTAATCATGTAAATAGTGAACATAAAGTTTCTCAGTATCTGATTTCATAGTAAAATAGTTAGTTTTAAATTACTTTAAAGTTGAAATTCTCACTTGGGTAAAATGTATCATGTAAACATTTTGAAAATGGGAGATAATAAATTACTGTTCAGAAATCTGTTTAATAACAAGATGGCAATGAAAATGTATGGAGATGAGGTGAAAGAACAAATAATACAACCCTGCTTAGTTTCAATACTGTAACCATACTGTATAATACTGTAAAAATTCCTAACATATTTTCAAGTATTTTTGACATTTGAGCAAAGTAAATTTTAAAGCATCTAGAAACTTCAGTAGGTTCAGCTGTACCAGAGCTGTGAGTAGCACTGCCATTTATTTCTTATATTTGTATGCACATATATTTTGTCTGAAAAGCTTAGGAGATGGTTTTGTAGTAAAAAAATCTCCAATGACAGGAATCATTCAGTATATCGCTCCATATGTAAAATATATCCTGTAACCTTTCAAAAAGCTCCTATACCACTTTGACTTCTCTCCTTGTAAATGAGACATGTTAGATAAAATAATAGATTTAAAGTTTATATATTTTTGCAATTTAATACTTATTACAGTATTTATATTTTGTCTGAAAAGCTTAGGAGATGGTTTTGTAGTCAAAAATCTCCAATGACAGGAATCATTCTGTATATCACTCCATATGTAAAATATGTCCTGTAACCTTTCAAAAAGCTCCTATACCACTTTGACTTCTCTCCTTGTAAATGAGACATGTTAGATAAAATAATAGATTTAAAGTTTATATATTTTTGCAATTAAATACTTATTACAGTTGTATATTTGATGTCAAACTTAGATCCATATATACTGAAATTGTCCCTATTTCTGTATAGCATAGAAAGTGAACAAAAAGAATCATTATTAGTTTTTAAGTTAATAATAACTTCAAATTAAGACAGAGTAGTTGTACAGTTAGTACTATACAATTGTAGAGCCAGTGAATTTCAAAAATTCTGTCCATGCTTATGTTTTGTGTGAATTCCCCTTGTTCATATTAAGTACATGTTGACAGCCAGTGGTTTAGTCATTTTCAGTGAAGTGTAGAAGGTCATAAATAGCCATCAAGAAAAAGGGAAAGTGAGTATTTGTGCTTTATATGCACTTTGTTGTGTTAGTTTGAGCACTCCATCCTCACTCTGATGGTCTTCTAAAATAACTGATCAGCTCATACAAAAAAGAAGTTTCACTCAGAAGAAGATATCCTCCATGTATCTCTTCTCAATTCCTTCAGGTTTTGGGATTTGGGCTATAAAATTTCCAAACTTCCTTTATGTGGTTTGCCTAAATCAATTTAACCACTATCTGCCATTTTCTTGCTCAGTTTGTCATTTGGGAAGATGCTCCAGGAACATAAAGCATTCTCACTTTCTTCTCTTATGCTTCTCATTTCATTCCTATTTGATTGAACCATTTTCTATGCATCTCATAGGCTCCAGCAACAGCTCTGAGAGCTGTTTCTCTGTCATGCTCCTAAATATGTTAACATGGCAGTATTTAATAAATCATACATGTGGCAGCTGTCTAACACAATGTTTTATTCTCTAGATCAATATACATATTATCCTCACAAATTCAAGTTTGTTTCTCAGAATTATATTGGTTCTATACTTATTATTCTCTCCATTAGTATTCACTGTCTTGACTAATGTTGTGATTTCTTCCCCTATATGCATTCCTTTCTAGAGTAATGCCCATAAATTTGCAGAAACAATAATGCCATTCTCTTTAGAACATTATGTACATGAGAGACAATTTATATGACAATAAAGCCATACAAAATTCACTGTACACTTTGGCAATTGTCATGTCCCCCACTCACCTCAACATCTTACTTTATTCCTGTCAGACATGCAGCCTTGCCTTTTTCTTCTTTTCAAAGGTCAATTTTATATGTCTTGAAGTATTGCACATCTTCAGTATCTCTGCTTAACTGCCAAGTTTAGTCACTTCTGTTGTTCTAAATTTTTTCTTTATTAGATTTGATACTGTCTATTCTTCTGACAGTTGCCATTCTTAA